GACTGTGGTATGGAGCAACAAGCTCCGATGTTACCAGCCCCAAAAACAGTGTCCTACCCACTTGGCAAACATTCCATGTTGCTTTACCCAATTTGGCTTTGTGTATGTCCCATATTGTTTTTAGGCGAGGGAAGAAGTTTAGTGTGCTTTTGTGTACTAACCCCCTTTTTTAATCGCTACCCAACATTGATATTGTCCGACACTTGCCAACTATGTACTTGGACCTCCTGAACATATTTGTTTGCAAGCTGCACCTTCGAACAAATAGAATCACTGGCCCAGCCCCATTCGGAGCAAGAATGGGGGGTTATCAATGAATCAATCCGCAAGCTCTGAGGGTCACTTCCAGGTTGCAGATCGGGCGGTCGGGATTCAGCCGCTAGGACTTGCGGAAGATGATGGACGAGCTTGGGGGGCGGCAAGTGGCCTGGCCCTCCTGGAACCCAGAAACCCCCGGTTGCTTTTCTCAGCTGCAAGTGGTTATCACCGCAAATGGCCAATAGAACCTTTGGCAGAAGGTTAGGCCTGGTTGAAGCTTGCCGAGCCGGGCACCATAGGATCCCAGACCTGGGCGCTTTCCTTCGTTTCCCAAAGCACTGAAAAGGCCCAGTTGAATTCTTTGCCTTCTCAAAACCTTCATTGTGTTTGAAGGGAATCCAATGAAGAAGATAGAGCCGCCGCCTCACTTGATCTGAGCACTGCTCATGCATTGCTTGTTTCATATGTTCTTGTGCCGCTTCCCCGGCACTTTCCCGTTTGGCACATGGCTTTGCGGGCAACATGCCGTCAGAGCAGTTCAACAGGGCATTCCAGATGTGTGCGTGTGTGGATGTATTCGCTTTCATGTCCCTTCCTGAACGATTGACTTTGCGCCATTTGGCTATGATTTTCACCAAGCAACCACCCCACAAGTGGTTGGTGGACATGAATTGTCCTAGCCCGGGCAGCCATTTACCACGTTTGAAAAACCTGTTTGGGGTAGTTTGGGATGTTCATGGATCTTTTTTTGTGGGACTTCAGACAACCCCGATCGGAAACTTCAGGACCAGGACCATGGCCACGATACGTTTCAGCGCCGAGCTTCCGCAGGGGGGTTGATTCATGTTGATTTCCCATGCCCTGTTCATTTTGGAAAGGGACCCTGGAAAACATGGTACATTGAAAACCTTTTGACTCACTGAGCTGCCTAGAGTTCTGGGAACAAAAGACGAAATGATCAGTTGAAGCGGCAATGACATACTTCAAGCAGTTTTTGGCGAGGCAATCGATGAGAAGGTGGACAAGGATGAGGAGACTCTTACAAGCTTGCCATGCGCAGGAGGTGTTTGCACCCTTTGGGCCAGGACATTTTTGCATGTAAAAGGAAACTAAACCTATGAGAGCAGCCATTTTTGGTCCGCTTTGGCAAATGGGTGCTCAGAATTTATGTAAATGACCAGTGCTGGTGACTGAGCAAGTTGCCTTGCCTGCTGAGAAGGTGGAGTGGCAGTAGAACCGGAACGTTGAGGCTTTCGCTTATTCTTCAACGCATTGTTGCCCATATTGAACATTTACTGGCTGTGAACATGCTAGCAGTTGTGATTTGAGGAACCTACTTGTAGTAAGATGAGGATCTTTCCATTTTGACCAGCCCAGTTCATAGGTATGCACACGCGGCAGGAGGCATCTTTCCTGGAATTGCGAGTGTTGCAGGCACGGGTTTCCTGGGCTTCAGTTCGCTGTGCTCGCTCGCTTGGCTCCCTAAATTCAGCTTCCCGCAAATCCAGTCAACGGAATAGCTCAAGTACAGAGTTTAGGCACCCTCACATGTTCAACACTGAAGGCGTTGGTTCAAATCCCATACATGTCGCTCTTAGGCAACTACGCCTGAGAAATGCCCTCACTGCAAATTACGCTCGCGGAAAGCCAAAAGCGCGCCCGAAACTGGTCACAGAGATGCGTTTTGCTAGATGCATTACACAGCGTCACATGTTTCCCAAGCAAATATTTCGCAAAGTCCCTGATTGGAGGTGGGAGATCATCCTAGGAAACTTTCTGTTTCGCGGCAGGTTGGAGAGCCTAAATTGTCACGTGTCGCCATTGTCCATTGTGACTGTCTGAAACTTCAAGGTCCAGATCGGATCGTGTAAGACCAGCTTGTTTTGTGGTGTCTTTTTGGGGCAGATTGGATAGACAGATAGGGAGACTGATTGGCAGATAGATAGATATAGATAGAAATACAGAAAGGAAGAGAAACGCAAAAACAGTACACAACACATACACTGAGACAAATTGAGGATTGTCTTGTCAGTGTGGATTGGTGTGCCTTGTCATGTTTGTTTCTCTTGCCGCCGGGTTTTGTTTTGTGAGCACAAACTAAAACTGTTCGCCCTCACGCTGGCTGTGATTTTAAGTTCAAAAGATGTGAACAACTGGACTAGTTGCCCCATGGGTGAGAAGTTGCGATCTCAAATGGTTCGACCTCCACCCTGGTCCGTTATGTTGAGGCGTTATGTGTTCCGAACGCTCGCAAAGAGTGTCCTGCTTTTGCGGAGGTTGCCTTGTGGGGCAATTCCTAGCAAATTTCAAATCAAACCAAGAGACTCACACATAATTCCATAGCTATAAAGACAAGCAGTCTACAAATATGTATGTACACATACATAAAACCGACCAGACATTACCGATACTGCAGCCCTTACTTGTAGCACTTTGTTGTGAGTGGTAGGGTTTATATTTTGTTCAAACAGCGTAAGGGGGTCAGTTGTTGAAGCAACAACGTGAGCAAGTTTGAAAGGATCGCCCCAGCCTGAGATTCAGACCTTCAGGCAGTCGGCCGCGTCACGGAGGGCGTGCAGCGTCTCCGGGTCTTCGCAGAGCTCAACCACGCCGTGACGTGGTGGACATCGGCAGGGATCGACCCCCTTTTTGGGTTGGTTTTAACGGGGAAACCAGAAGGAACCCCATGTGTGAGACACACCATGCGAAGCCCCGGCGAAGTCCTACCTCACCCCAGTCAGCCCACTTGCCTCAACTGGAGTCACCCCAGTCAGCCCGGTTGTCAATGCCTCTCTTTGGATGCTACCACTTGCGTTCCTTGTGTGCGTGTGTGTTACTAGCTGCATCTGGAACTACTCAGCATTTGCAGTTTATATCAATGAGGTTGCCAGTGTGTTGGCCACGCAAGCATGCCTTGCGTGGCTTCCTGCCAAGTCGGGCCGAGGCAATGTACAAGATCCTCAAGCTACTTGTGCCAAAGTCATGGTCAGTTGTTCAAGCATAAGGACAGCAACCGCGCCCCTTTTTGTTGCAAGATGATGATGCCATCAGGGAGCTCCCTCAAGTTGTGGGTGTCCTGGAGCCCTTTTGGGATCTAAGCAACCGATGCAACATTGAAACACTGCATCATTCTGAGGCTTTCCCTGCACGCGAACATGGAGCATGGAAAGACATGGCCTTCCACATGCCTTGCTTCAAGTTCCATGGTGGTTCAAAAGAGACTTTCCGCCCCTAAACGAGAAAATGTCTCAGAGCCCTTCGATGAACCCTTTCTATGTAAATAATCGGAAACTTTCCTAGGGGTTGGGGCCTTGATTTCCCCTCTTTTGCTGGAGGATCCGGGCAATTAAACTGACGACCAAGTGAAGCCAAGCGCAGGCCACAAAAGCGCCGGTACCGGTGGAGGAAAACTGGCTTGTTTCCAAGCAGGGCACCGCCCAGTAGTGGTTTCCTTCTTAAAAAGACACCCCCCGATGGTGAAAGGATGCTGGATGCATTGATCGCAGATGAGCGGCGGTATGACTTGTCCACGGTATGTGCATATCATGAGGGACATTAGCAGCCTCCCACCCCTTTCATTCCCCGCAGAAAGTTTCAAGAAACGCAAAGGCTCATCCAAGAGGAAGCTCTGAAGCATTGAAGATTTGATGTCATTCTGGTCTGAGGGTCTCGGGCAGATCGGAATTCTCAGCGTTGCAGCTTTCGGATTGGCGAAACGATGCCCGCAGGGAAACGGATCAGGTAGCCTTTGCACAGTCCTACCAACTGGCTGCTTGACCTGCTTGGAGAACCTCGACTTCCCAAATGGTCATGAGACATATTCCTTGCCCCCCCCCCAAGCTTTTGGACCCTGGAGTTGCCCTCCACGTCAGGACCCCGATATATCCTCAAATTCATGGTCTGACCGGTCAACTTAAGGAAGCACGACAAGCTGCTCTCCAGCAAGGAGGGGCTTGCCGAGATCTTCCCACGCCTCGTGAAGGCCTCCTGGGGATTTGGTGGACACGGGGTGTGGCTTTCTCCGCTTCACAGCAAGGCAGCACCACGCAACAAATCGCAACACAGCACAGGACAGGACAAAGACAGCACAACGCCAGACAACGAACACAAGAAGACACACACACACACAAATAGTTCTTCATTGGCTCTGGTAGAAAGACATAAACAGTTCTAAATGGGTGCCATTGAAAGAATGGGCTTCCCTGCTCGAAATTCGGCTAGGTTGTCTGCGGACATGTTGCCCCCTTTGGGTTTTCCAGCCCAAGAGCGAAGGGAAGAAGGTGTGAACTCACTTCATCAAGTGGCTACCCTGTAAAACATGGGAAGGAACCCCAAAGGGGTCCAAATTGAAAACAAGGAAAATCATGGCATGTTGGGTTCTATGATAATCTCCGGGCGTGCATCTGGAAGAGCAACAACCCATGCTCTTACGAACTTTTTGGTGGACCCCATGTCCCAAGTGCGACATTGAGGGATGCAAAAGGAAACCAACTGAGCAATGAACAACATACCTTGGGTTGCTTGTCCAGGCCCCATGGATACACACCCCTGTGTTTTGCACTGGGGTGGTGACCAACCATAGACACGTCTTACAAAAGTGGCTAACTCCAATACAGCTCTCATTTAAAACTTAGTTGGCACTTGCTTAGCTAAGTGAAAGCTCAGGGCTGGTTAATTTTTACGCATAGGTTGCGTGATGGAGCGAACAGCTTGTGTGTCTCTTTGTGCGTCTCTGTGTGTCTCTGTGTGTGTGTGTGTGTTTTTGTGTCTGAGTTTTTTTTCTCTTTTTTGTGTGCGTGTGTGTACGTGCGGGTCGGGTAAGACGCCTGTTGCTTCACGAAGAATGGCGCTGGTGATGTGATGCAAGATGTCTGAACAGTCTTAGGTTTGGTGTTGGGTTGGCGGTGGCTTTGCTTTACAATTGCCTGGCTGGAGGCCTGCCTGCTTGCTTGTCTTTCTGCTGCCTGCCCGCCTCCCTGCCTGCTTGCTTGTTTGCCTGCTTGCCTGCTTGCTTTTTTTCTTGCTTGCTTGCTTGCTTGCTTGCTTGCTTGCTTGCTTGCTTGCTTGCTTGCTTGCTTGCTTGCTTGCTTGCTTGCTTGCTTGCTTGCTTGCTCGATTCTGGGGGCACCGTGGAGCCTGCCTAATTATCCATACGTGACAATGTGCCATGCTCATCAGGATGCTGCCAAAAAGTGCCTCGTCACCGCGACACTTATGATGTAAAGCCCTCGCGGGTGAACCAAGAACCAAGGGAACTGAATCAAGGCCAAGGATATGGCTGATTTTCTATTGTGGCTTACCTGGGATCCATCGGGGGGGGGGGGATGCCAATCCATACCCCCTTCCTCCGCAAAAAAACAGGCGCAATCTCTCCCGTGCTGGGACCTCCAGCGGTCAGGCCACACGCATCAACGAGGTGGAGCGCTTTGATGCGCTGGACGAGGACTTGAAGAAGATGTCCCTGGCCAGCCCAGAACTCAGATGAACCAACTTATCCTTATAGCAAGCTGAACAAGTGGCTGACTTTCAGGGAAGGAACCCTGAAGCATCCAAATCTCAGGGGAGTTTCCTTCTCTGTTACTTTGCAGGTATCATGCGTTTGTAAACGAGCTGAACCCAAGTCTTCGGTTTCTCTTGAACCCATTGCCAAGCTCAGCAAGGTCAACGCGGGGAACTGAACTGCTCCAGGGAAAAGACCTGAAACAGGGTTTCTTGCAAAGGAAATCATCAAGAGTTGGCCTGGTTTGCCCGTTTGGGAGACGAGCCCTTGCATCAGACCGGGGCAAGTGTACAGAAAGGGCGGGAGAGACCAATCCATTCGCCCTAATAACAAAGGTCCCCCCATTGTTTTTGGAATCCAAAGCCGCCCTCGCTAAATTTGGAATTGCCCGATACTAAACCCAACTAAACTAGGCATTTCTCCTACTGACTCAAGTGGTCGCTTGTCAGGGAGAAGCTGGAAAGGGGGGAGTCTATCATCTCAGAACAGACGAGGTCCAAGGAGGGACCCTGAATAATAGATAGTATTTCCCACAGTGTTTGTTCCTTTTGGAGAGGGGCGGGGAGGGGGGAACCGTTTTATTATCAGGAGAAACAGGGTAGCTTTTAATTGTTGAATCTTATGGCAACCTTGAATCATGCATGCTGCATCAGGGAGACCTGAGATTCGCGGTGAGGCTCAAAGACAGAAGACATCGAGCCTTTACTGCACTTCATCTGCCGTTGGATATTATCCCCGTTGTTGTTTTTTTTGGGGGGGGTTTGACACGCCGCCGAAGCCTGTTTGGGTTGCCTGTCCCCGTCAAGCTGAAGCATTGCATGCATGAGGGTACTTGCCTGTGGCTTATTCTTGGCTTCGCACAGCTTCCCATCGAAGAATCAAAGCCCAACCAATAAGTTTCAGGGGGACAGCTGCATTTGAACTCTTCGGCCACTGGTGGCGAAGCGGACGCTTTGCTCTTTGCATGTCGGTTCGGAAGGCTGGCACATGGAGTCTGTTCTGCGGGGCTTTTGCCATGTGTTTGCTTTGTTTTGTCCATCCGGAATCCGGAATTGAACCATGCCGTGAATTCTGCGTTTGTTGTTTGTTTCACTCTCGCATCCATGTTCAGACCAGCTTGCAATACTCAGTGCAAGGTGACAACAGCCTTCAGGGCGGCCAGTAAACATTTGCTATAGGACCTAGACTTCCAGATGTTCTGGATGCATGTATGAACGTCCCTGACTTCCAAATGGTTGCAAGCATTCCCTTTTACAAACCTTGCATTTGGCTCTTCAATTAGGCTCTGAAAGAGTAGCCTGGTGGTGCTTTGGGGGGCGGGCTGTGCTGGGGAACAGGCCCGGTCCGTCGAAAACTGAACATTAACCATGCGCGTGTCATTTGGCGTTGCCCTGCAAACACCGCAGCAAAAAGGGTCGGATCCTTCAATCACCGCCTTCAAATCGATCGTTTGAACACCAAGCTTTTATTTGTGCCAGACATCCCGGCATGTTTTGGCAAAAAGAAACAAGTGTCCCTCAAAAAGAAGGCAAACAACCAATAGCTAGCTTGTTTTTGTCCCCCAAACAAGGCAAACAACAAACAAACACATGTTTTTGAGCAGGCAACCCTTGTGGGGGCGGCTGGACAGCCGGAGGCCTTGTTTTTGCAGGCTGTTTTTCTCGCCCAGCGCATTTCCCTTTTGGAAAACTCCGCGCTTGCCGCCCTCGGATCGCGCCTGCGAGGACGCCTCCCCGGAGGTGGCGCGGCTGATCGCCGGCCTCGGGCGCAGCGGCGTGGTGGGCCTCACTGCTGGGGGCCCCAATGCCGCAGTCGGCTCAGCTAGTTCAAATTTATATCATTTCAGTCTGCCCTTTGTACCTCACTTCCAGTCACCACGTCTTGCACATACCGCGAAAAAAAGAGCAGCTATCGGTGGAAGTGCTCGCTGAATGGGAAGCATCTCCTTTATTGGTTTGATTTTGGGTTCCTGTCAATGTCCGGCCTGCTTGCCACGACCAATGTGCAGAAGCAAGATTGAGAAACCAGCACTGGGCTGCTGAAAGTCAGACGGGGGATGTTTCAAGAGCAGCAGGTTGTGATTCAAGGGAACCAAATGCCAGCTTTCTGATAGTCTGTGTAAAATGGTGCAGGAGGCGTCTACCCAAAAGCAATGTGAAGGATTAAAACGGAAGACGTAAAGTCGGGACTGTCCTCTAACCTTCATCTATCCAGCCTCTTATTGAAGCTCATTTGGAAGTCTCCTGAGTTTGGCACAACCATATATATATATATATATATATAGACGCGGTGGTCTAAGAAGGGCACCACACTCACGCTCCGCCACACTCGCGCAACGTGAATTGAGGAATGCATGTCGCGTGTGTCACGGATTGCGCCTTGAAAGGCAACGCTGAGTTTTGTGCTTCGGCATTTTCATTAGGGGAGGTCAGTACTGTGTTTTTCCTTTGCGAAACTATGCATTCTCCTAGCTGATTGGCCTTGGCTGAGGTACAGCCAGTATCCCACCGGAGCCGCTTGGCATTTGTGAAACCGGCTGGCGCGTGGCAAGCTTTGTTTCTTGTCGCGAGTGCTCGGCGACACGTTGGAGCGGCTGAATGTCTACCCTTGTGTCAGGGTTTCTTGGGGCACGTGCTTGGTACAAATGGTCAACCCCAATCGGAGTTTGCTCTCACTCCACCCAATATTCGGATGGTTCAGAGGCCGACTTGCTTAGATGGCCGTGCATTTGGTAGATCGAAACTTCTGCCCAACAGAGCCGATACCGACTACGCATTGAGGGTTGTAAACATGTCAAAATCAGGTTCCCCCCTTGAAGCCTTTTTAATCAAGATAGGACACATCCACATGAAAGAGAGGACTTGCCAAATCGGAGCGCTTTTTGGCAATGCCGCGACCGTTGCCAGATGGGACGTTTGGGCATGTGGGTGTTGTAAGATTGAGACTCTTTTTGCAGGGAACCAACTAAGTGGTTTGGCTCATAGTTTAGGAACGAAATTAATACAAGAGGGCCACCCACTTGGACTTGGCTTGACTTTGAACAACCCCATCAATGACGTGTTCTTAGGGAGTGCACGAAACGGGTTCCTCTCCTCTCACGCGCGGGAAAGCATCATGTTTAGTAAATGTTTAGAGGACCTCTCCTTTCCATATGCTGAGAGCAAGCTGTTGGCAGGCCCAAACCTAACTTGCTCTTGGCTACACAGACACAGGCAATCCAGGCCATTGATTGGGATAGGGCTCCCAAAGCGATGGACATTTGTTTGATCTCGGCACCCGAGCAACGCTCGCCACAGGCGAGCTGGTCCTGAGCTTCTTCCTGGGCAGCTCACTGGCATTGTTCCTCTCCATCGGGGTGCTGCTTTGGCTGCCCGAGAAGAGCCCCTCGGAAAGTGACACGGCCTCTGAACTCGGGAGGCGACGTTTCTGCTCCTTGTCGATCTCGGCCTACTTTGGGCCGAGTTCGGCTCAGGCCCGGTTTGGCCATGGGTCCAGGACGCCAACCGGCGGGTGATCCGTTTCTCGTTTCGGATGGGGTTCCACACGGCAAATTAACTGTGACAGAGTCCTTCTGAACTTTGTGCACACTTTATCCTGAAGTGGCTTCGCCGGGAAGATGAAGGGACAAACACGGGCGACCTTGTTTCCGAAGGTCACTGGGCGACCGGTCAATCATGATTCAGCTATGGACGAGTTTGCTCAATGCATCAACTTGCCTGACTGTCTTGCTCTGCATCATGTCACGCCAGTCAGTTCAATCGTCCTCAATTTGTTTCGGCAAATAGGGACCACCAACAGAACTCCTTTTGTTGTTGAGAAGAGGGCGTTGCCCAGCGACCTTTTGACTTATTGAAGTCGATTGTGGATCCGACAGCCTGCCTGCATTCAGACCTTCGGTCCTTGAGTCAGCAGGTCAGCCATGAGACCGGAGACCAACTACACAGAACAGCATTTAGAGTCGCAACATGCAAATTGGTTGCATGTTCAGAGGTTGAGCTTCAAAGCTACGATTTCATGTTGCAAACGTGCGGTAGAATTCAAAGTACACTTTTTGCTTTTAGTTGTTGTTGTTTTTCCGGCCCGATCATTGCATTTTGAACAGGTTCGCTCGAGCCAATAAGAAGGGCAGAGCTTTTGTCGGATTTCCATGGGCTGTCCGTTGCCAGAGATCATTGACAGGGAGCTCCGAGCACCGCTCTTGTAGATAGATAGATGGCGTGACAGCATTATGGGCGGCACGATTCGATGCTTTAGTTCGAAAGCCGCATCTTTTCCCTAAGCCAGAAAAATTCGAAGCAAACAACATAGGCAACCTTTTTCTCTGGCCAACTCACCTGATCTACATCAATGTTTCAGCTTTCTTGGGTGGGACCGAAATCCAAAACAGAAAAAGCACGTGTTTCTGTTTCGGGGGGCAGCAGGGCAGAAGCGGGGGTGCCTGAGCCTCGATTCGCTTGCAGGTCCCAGGACCTTCTCTGAGGCAGTGGGATCGTTGGGGCGCAAATTGGGCGTTGAACATCTCACTGGATCAAGCTGTTCGGGACCATTAGTGGAAACAACTAGCAGTTTGGACTTGTTTCGGCCATTTCACGGAAGTAAGACATGTGTTCATGTCGTTGTTCTGTCATTCTGCCTTTTGCCCAAGGAGTCAGTGTCTTTTTACCGACCCTGAAGGGATTGCTTGAAAGGTTTGATCATATTGTATGTTACTATGCAAGCCTGCACAAAAAGCATTTGATTCTCGGGATCATTTCGATGAACGCCCATGAAGTCTCACAGGCCTTGACTTGGGTTGCATTTGTTCAATGTCTCAAGATGTCACCATGTGAGTCTCTCTTGGTCTGGTGACCTTATATCATATTTGAATGTAGAGCCCTGAGACAAGAGGGGGAAAGCAACTGGAGGGTGATGATTCCTCGAGTGGCTGGACTTGTGATCCTCTCAGTGAGTTGCACTCATCCCAGTTCGAACACTATGATTGGAGCCTTCCTCATGCGCGCGGTGGCAAACCACCCGCGAGAGGTTGCAATGACTCGCCCAGGTACATGAGCAGCGTCATAAGCATGTTTCGCAGTGTTGCTGTTGCGAAGCTAATCTGAAGCTGGCTACATGTTATATCATGAAGTCGTTGCTGCGCATGGAGCATGAAGTTGTATGGAGTTCTGGTGTCCACAGTGCTCAACATGCTAAGGCATGTTTGCTCAATTGGCAGCTGGCTTAGGTTTGTTAACAAACCTTTAACGTTTTGGAGAAGTGTGCTTCCGCACAGGAGCCTTCGCCGGGATACCTTTGTGATGCCAGTTTCGGCCTTCCCTGGCATCGTGTGTCTCAGTGTGATGGCTCAATGGCAACCCAGGATTACTTAACTTAAGGGGAAGTCCCGAGATTGGGACGGATCGAATTGAACCCTAGAGGCTGCCCAAAACAAAATCGTATAGTACTTGTCGCAGTGTTGATCGTGGTCTAGACTGCCACCCTAATTAGCCTTCCCATGCGCCTCCATTTTGAATATGGGAACCACCCCACGGATTGCTTCTAGGTCTCTTCGGTTAGGTGAGGATGGCAGGAACATCTGGTGACACGCCTGTTATGAGTGATTAGGTTCGGGTCTTGTCAGGGCAAACCTGCTTGCAAGGCGTACTTTCTGACCCCGATCCCGGTCTTCCGCGTAGTGCCCTGCCCAGACGCACATGGCTGGGAGCGATCCAGCTAGCCTCAACATCTATCAGCAGCTGCATCTGCTTTTCAACCGGAGGGGGTAAATTGCATTTGCTTGTCAACCGGAAGTCAAGTGGCTTATGTTAATGATATTGAGCATTCCACTGCGCAGGACCAGATGGAAGTTTGAAGTGTCATTCCCTCCCTGTCATTTGGCTGGGCAAGCCAAGTAGCACACACGTCAACAAAGCCTAGATTGTAGCCATCGACATTTGCCTAGTTATGCATGAATTGACTGGTTCAAATTCGTGCAACTTTCGATTGGCTTTAGCCAAAGGTTCTTCGTGTCTGCTAGCTTAATGTTGCATTAAGAAGCTTGACACTTCCGCTGGACTCAAACAACAGGAGTGGAGTATTGTGATGTCATGTTTATGTATATACCTGGGCCCTCCTAAGTGTGCATTTTTTGTGCTGTTTGGTCCAAAGGCTCCTTTTGGTGCAAACGACACATGTTTTTGCCTCAGTGCATTTTTGCGAATTGTCCTTTTTTGCGTAACCAGGATGAAGACGAAAAGGCGACATTGCCCGACCCAAAGGCGACATTCCCCGACCAAAAAACAACATTTGCCGACTACGTTCTGGCAAGATTTTGAAGCAGCACTTTTCAGAGAAAAATGTTCTTTTTGGAGCAAACGACACAACATATTGCTTTTTCAGCAAGCGGCAGAAAAATGGCACACCTGGAGGGTCTAGGTATGTATGTATTGCTATTGTGGTCGAACTTCTTCGCAAGTGCCCTGCATCTCTTGATGGAATGGCAGACATGTTTTGCGCAGTTAGCTTTCAGACGCAATGGCACGCCTGTCAGATTTGTCCGTGAGGGCGAAGCTTAGCATCGGTTCCCAGGGTCGAAGCGCAGTCCAACAAAGGATGCTCCCCACATAACCCGGTCACCTGTTCCAAGAAACCAGCCCCTGGACTTTCTACGGAAAACCCTGGTTGAGCCCATTGGGTTAGGCTGTCGCCATTATCATTGCCATTCTCTTTTCAGCAGGAGGCGTGACCCGGTCAGTTTCGCATTTGCACGCTGAGGTTTTCTCCTTTCTTCTGATTATGTGGTGCATGGGTGCCGTGGCCAAGATTTGCGGACAGTGCCTTGGCGCAATAGAGCGATGCAATGGAGGTCTTAGCAACATAAGCTTCATGTTGAACAGTAGGCCTGTGAGCAAGCTCAATCTGACAAGCAGCCTTTCAATTTGACCCTGTGAGAGAGAGCCAGAGATGTGCTGGAATGCAGATGGTGATGGAGCTTAGCATGTGTCATTGTTTTGCTTTTGGGATGCCACGGGCGTAACAAATAAGTCCAGCTTGTCGAAGCAATGTTTCGCAGTTTCGAGTGTTCGGCCAGGGCAGATGTCAACCACATGTTCATTCTGAACGTGGATCCTCGCTGCCGAGTCAGCCCAGAGTGGTTCTTTGCGCGTGCTGCCACGCTGACCACAATTTGGATCCTAGTCTTTGGCATCTCGGCGCGGCGTGCCAGGGAGTGGACCACGGACAACGTGTAAAGGTTTGGATTGGATGGTGGAGGATTTTCCAATTTTTCGTGATGTTTGCACAGGCGCCCCAGGCTTCATAAGATCCTGGAACTGTCCAATCTTAGAGTGGAGCCTGCACTTTTGGTGCCAACTCCCCTCTGAATCCGGCAGGTTGGTGAATCCAACCTTGCCCGAACTTAACAAATGAAGCAAAGCGCTCCGTTGTTTTCGTTTTTCTGCAAAACTACCTATCACCTCTACAGCAGCGTTCGCAACCCTGCGAATTGATTGTATATACCTTTGATTGGGCTTGTATAGCCATGTCCAACTTACACATGGAAGCCCAAGCTACAAAATGACCTTTGTGTGTCAGCTTCGCAAGGCAAACGACTACCCTTTGCCCTAGCTGGAACGCACACCTCTTTTTTTCCTGGGGCCTGGCCTTCTCGAGCACCGCTCGTGGGACTCCTGGACACATGGCACAGGAGGCATTTGGGACTCCTGAACACTCTCAATTCATGTTGGTGGGAAGAATCCGCATGTATTGTCCAAAGTCATTCCTGCTAAATGGTACCCAGCTGGGTGGCTCCCAGCTATCCCTTCAACTTTTTAGGTCTTTAGCTGGCGTAGTGGTAGTTTCCATTTCACCCACTAAGAGTTAGTCAAACTTTTGGCAGGGGATCTACCAGGTATGTGCATGGGCAGCCAGGCATGTACGTGGTGGACTACAAGTGGAAGATTGTGCCAACAGTTTGGTCCACGGAGGGCTTCAACAAGCGAGCCTCTCTACACTTTGCCCCTCGGGAGAAAGGGGCAGCCAGAGGATCAGTCAACAGTTGAGCCACAATCAAAACCCGGGTAGATGAAGGTTAGTAAGGGATAATCCCAACATATCCCAGCCTTAACTGGGTGCATCCGCCTTGTTTAATTCCTTGCACGGGAATGGGTAGGATTTGCATACCAGGTTTTGATTATGACTCATTGCCGTCTATGGCCCATTTGGCAGGGAAAAGGGGTGTCTAAGTTTCAACCGCAACCAGATCTACTTTACCCACCTCCGTAGAGAGTGCAGCAAAGTTCAGCTTCGGCTCAGATATTGTTTGGGCCGTTGCTTTTGATGGGGTGCCTGAAGAGGAACAGCATGTGACTGAGTTGAAGATGCTTACTTGGCTACTGCGGGTGATGAGACTCCCCGCTGACAAACATTCAGGACTTGAAGAGGAGTCGGGTGTCCAAAGTGAATGTTGACCTGATTTTTTAGTTTGGGCAACCATGGCGAGGTTCCCAAAGGTTGACTTTGTTTGGGTTCTTCAGGCGAGAAGGGGAGCATTTGTTGTGCATGAACATTGGGAGGAAACTTGCCGCAATGTCTTGCTGGTTTCCTTGTATGCGGTTCAACGCCATCCTAGATATCCAATATCTTTTCACCCTTTGAATCATTCCCAAGCATAGGTGCGCGTTTTAGGTTAGTTTGGTAGAAACAGATGGCACTGGTTTAGATTGGTTTCATTGCCATCTATGTGTCAGGTCACCTAGGTTGCCAAACTTGCCATGAGTTTCTTCTGAGGTGTTCAAAGTCTCCAGCCTTCAAAAATCCGGCAGCGGCATTTTCCAGCTTTCCCCTTGCCAAAACAACGGGTCACTGGAGTCAGCCTGCAAAAGGGTTCCCGGTTTAAACGGGCCATTGGACAACGAGGAATGATGCAGTGGGAAGACCTCTGAAGGCCGACCTTTTGACCTTTGGATGTCCAATTTAGGTCAACCCAGATCTACACGAGACTTCCCTTTTTGCGAAAAGCCCACTAGTTCTGGCTGTAGCCTACCTTTGGAAATCAATAAATGTGTGCGTCGCTTCATTCAGGATACACTTTTTGTTTTATCAAAAAGGACGCAACCCCGCTTTCAAGACTTCAATTTGAGACAAGACCGAATGAAGCCGTGTTGCCTTCTTTGCACCTAATTTCTCGTTGAGGTTTTCTACCCCTTGGTGCTTCTACTCCTGGCGGGCCTCGGCGCGGTCATGCCCTCCACCATTTGCCGGAATCGGCCCCTTGGGCAGATTATGACTCGTAACATGGGTTCCCATGACTGACTTCCATTCGAAGATTCACAATTCATAGATTGCTGTGAAAGTTCAATGGCTGGAACAAATGGTTGGACACAAAGCAAAGTTCCTTGATGATCACCAAGGGGTCCATGTCCAATAATCGAAGTTCATCAGCTCGAGACAGACGTATTTCCCGTTTTACCTGTGTGTGTGTTTTTACCCGTGGTGTTTTTTTAGGTGCACCCTGGAGTTGATATACATTTCGGGTGTGTTGAACTAGGGGGCCCCATTCTATTCTTGGGTGGCTCCCCTTGAGCGTTTTACCCAAGAAAGGGTCACCTACGAAGACTGGGCAACCCGACGCCTCGCAGCCTTTTTCGACGCCTGCGCACATGTCCCATGGTTTGCCATGGCCCTGCCCCCGGTGCGGGCACAAAGCGCCGGCTGCCTGGTGAGGAGCAGAAATTCTTTGTTTTGGCCTGGGTGAAACGAAACCGTGGACCCTCCCTCCAATCAAAGCACCTGTGGGAGGGTACCCGCAAGATGATTTCCTCTTGGGGGTACCCTGTGTCAGTTGCCATGTTAGTGGGAGGGAGGGTAGCCTCGTACAAAGATGTTGCCTGAGAGAGGGGTGCAAGATCATTTTCCTTAAAAAAGGACCATCTGGGGGGTTCCACGTTAGTAAACAGGAGGGTAGATTAATCGGGGGGCCGACGGTCACCAGGGGGAGGGACTCCACAATGATCCACCAGGTTAATTTAACTGGTGTTAACATCACCACTTCTTGGTTTGTTTGGAACACGTGGGCAAGTAGTTTGTTTTTTGTTTTTTTTCAGGGAGCAGCGGTATGGCAAGTTAATCCACATGGTGGCCCATGTTCTGTACCATGGATGCAGGAATCCGACTCTTGCACTCGCTCCTTGGAACCTCGCAGGAGGAATTCGACTCAGCGGCCGAGGTCACGCGACCGCCGGCAATCAGAGGCCAGTTGTGCTACAGGGGTGGCCCTGCGTATGCAACCCGCGTGTTTCCCAAGCGGGGGCTTTCCTGGGCCTAATGGAGAGCCAAGGACGAATCCCACTTTTGGAGTGCATCAAGAGAAACATCACAGATGTGTTAAATAGAAGTTGCTTTGCTGCCACTGACCTAGCGCCAAGAAGCGCAAAGAGACATGGCGACTTACTCGGGTATTCCGTGCTTTCCGAAAGCTAGGAACCCAGTTGCACGCGCCCTTTCCAGGTCCTGCTTAAAGTCCGAAGCTGGACCATTCTAATGTTCACATTTGACTGTTTGCCAGATGTGTTCTCCATTGGCCATTCAGAAAGGCATAGGCGCAGATTATTCCAGACAGAGGCAAACAACGGGTGCCAGAGAGAGAGAGAGGGAGGCAGATAGAGAGAGGGAGAAAGTGAGAGACAGGGATCCCCTCTCGCAACACCAAGCGTGGCACCTCACAAAGCGCCCTGAGGGGATAAGCGACGATGGATTGAAATATGTCGTGATCCCTTCACATAAATACATGTATACTATGTATAAATCTATGCGTACATGCCTGTAGCGATACCAGGTTCTTCCGGACTTCGTAATTTCCCGTCAGGGCAAGCCTTTGGATGTCCTATTTGACCGGCGGGGCTCGCTGGGGCAGCGGCCCTTTACCTCTTCCGGCGTTTTGAGCAGGCCAGGTGGCCGGGTTTGGGGTCAGGGTGGGTTGCAATTGGCTAAAGCTTGCTGTGGACCCCTTGCCTCACTCAAACCTCAAGGATGTTTGGCTCAGTCCAAGCCAACCTTTGACTTTTTGCCGGTCCAGATTTGGCTTATTTAATTTGAAGCCAATTGGTTTCACAAGTTTCATCATTCACTTCCAGGTCGTTTGGGTGAGCTGAACAGAACTCGCGGAGACTCGTGTTCAAGCACTTCGCCCAACCCTGAGGGCAAGGTTGATCAAGCTACGGCCAGCAAACGATCGAACCCAGGCCAGGTCACATCTCTTGTTGCACAGCAGGCTCACATGTTTTTGCTAGAAGACCACAAGTCAAAGGATTGAAGTCTTGAGCGCATTCTAGATTCTGGACGGAATCTAGATGGTTCGGGGGAACACGCGCCCAATTTGCCGTGACCCATCCAATTCGCTGTACTTGAAGCCGCCGCACCTGGATCGCCTGGATTCGCGTTTCCGTGATTCCCTATGTGCAAAGACGGGGCGGAGTTCGACGCGACATTTACAGTGCTTGCAACAGTCGTCTTTGTTTCCCTTTCCGCGTATGTTGCGCACTCAAACCCAGTGCACTGGGTTTGGGGCAACCGTCTTGCGAAGACCAGCGCGCAAGGCAATGCGATGGGGTTCAATACCGGGGCATTTTTCGGCTCAGATGGTGTCCGCTACCACTCAAGTCACCCTCCAAGGAACATTTAATGTATACCCTTCACATAGTACATCTTGGTTGCATATAATTCGTTGCGGGAGTTTTGAGGTAAGTAGTGAAAAACCTGCTGGAAACACTTGAAGCAAGTGTTTTGTTCCTTGGCTGGCAAAGACTATTCCCATAAACCAACACCACAGTCAAAGGGGCTCACGCACAAAGCAACAGACCTGTGATGGGCGGGCAAAAGTTTGGACTCCACTCCTTGCATGCCTGCAGGGATGCTCGTGCTAGCGCGGCCTTGGCGAAGCAATCCAAAAAGATGAGCAGCCAGGCAGGATTCGCGCGTCAAACATGGCACTCTTGTATGTTGTCATGTGCTAGATTGTCGTGACGAGCACTTGCAACGCGAATGTCTGTCAACAAACACGTTTGCTCAGGGTGAGCGCGCGATGTTTCGGGGTGGCCGCTGCATGTGGGCTTCCCTGAGCCTGGGTGTCTGGCTGCCAAGTGAGTTTGCTTTCTGCTTGTGAGCTAGAGCTAGTCTAGAGCGCTGGACACAAGACAAACAGCTCCAGTTTGAAGATGGATCTCCAGTTTGGCTTTCGCAGGTGCATGGATTTACAAAACGGCTCCATATCTTTACGAATCAGACCTCCAGGTGTGCCGGAGTTGGAAGTTTGGTGGTGCTGACGCCGCCTTTTTGGCCTAAGGCCAGGTCCAGCAAAATGGCCTGATGGCTTTGCAAGTTGAAAGCGGCAACAGCATCTCCGTACACCTACAAGGCACTTGGAGACCTTTGTCTAAACTTCTGTCCTTCTTCTCGGTCTCGAGCAGTGCTTGTAAACACTGGTGCCCGCCTCAGGAATTGAAGCGAAATCGCTCTTTTTGAGGGGCAGGACAACAGCTTAAAGGCAGATTGCTGGGAACATGTCTGTAACAAACAAGTCTCACTCTCTGAGTACAGGACCTTTAAGCCACTAACTGATCAAACAATTTGGGCCTTTCCCTGCAGAAAGTAAGGCACGGCAAGTGACCTCGAAAATGGTTATCAACATGATCTTGTTGGTATTCAAAGTTGCTTTTTCCCTAGGGGGTGATATGTTGTCAGGGCAAATATGGCCATGAATATTTAACCCGGGGACCTCCCAAATGGGCCATGACTCGACCCCCCGCATCACGGGTGGTCGCGCAGGTCTCGGTGATCAACTTCGACCAGGCCCTGGACGTGGCCTCCAAGCGCGCGGCGAAGCGCTGCGCCAACGAGCGGAAGCTCATGGGGAGGTGGCCCCAAGCCATGCAGCACAGGAACCCCACCATGTGCCCCTCGGAACGGATTCGTTATTTTGCTCTTTTTTCTTCTGTTTTTGTAGGGTAGGGGGCAGTCCCAACCACAAATGCGTGTGGCCGCCCTTTCATTTAGCGCTAAGATTTGGGTCTATAGTCTCTTTTTTTTATACCAGGTGTTGATTGTGGCTCGTGTCCGGCAGGCTTGGCAACAGGGTTGCAAGGGGCACCTATTTATCATTCAACACCATGGAGAAACCGAAGCAATGTGCAGGCCAAGTATGCGGGTTGCGGCTCCAAATGTATGACGGGCGCAAAGTGTGTGCTGGATTCTCTTGACGCCCCGGATGAAGCAAACATTGTAGGGACGGAGACTTTGTTCAGGGCCTCGTTTGGGCTGCTTTAGCAGCTTCAAGCAGGGTCGTCTCACTTGCAGACTGCACACATCCGCCGAATGTTTGTGGGTTTCCTGTGTTGGTCCACTTGGTCGAGAAATCATGCATCTGCAGCACGTTTGGACAAGGCCGGCTGCCCCCCCGTGAATCTGAGCTGGCTAAACAGCACGGTTTCTTCAGATTTGTTCTGCTGCAGCCCAGACTCAGGCATCAAGGAGCTCGTGGGGAGCAAATCCTTTGTGCAGTCCGCCTACAAGCGCAACATAGAGGAGCCCACTGACTGTTCAAGGTTCTTGGTGTTTCATTTAAAAAATAAAAATAATCCGGTCGGCCGTGCCAATCAGAGGCTTACCCAGCAAAAGGATCTGCTTCTTACTTAGGTCGAACCACCACCTATTGACCCAGAGAGCATTGCCAATCCGAAGTGGACACTCGGCTCAGTGTGCCCAACCTGAGTTGTAGTTTTAATGCCAGTGTTGCACACTCAGGCTGCATTTGTTGCTGGATTTTGTGGTTGCCTTGTGCTAAGGGCCCTTTGAGGGTGTTGGAGGGGTAAGGCTGCTCTCAAAGCAACTGTTCGGACTGCAGCGGTTGCTTCAGGAGATTCGATGGGCAGAGCAGGCCATGCGAAAAAGTGGCATGGTGGAGGTCGAAAAGCAGGCAAGGAGCCGCCTGGCAATGAGATATTGCAGAGGGCAAGCGGTTTGGGCAGCGCCATGGACACCGAAACCTGACCCAAGGTGACCTGAGGTTGATCGTGATAGTCAGGCGGACATGCAAACACCTCTTTGGAACCCAAGGCCCAGGGCCCTTTGGAGTTGTCAGACCTAAGGAAACAATGGCCTCCCACCAAGCAGCTTCGATGGTTGGAACCTGCGTCCCCTGTTCCCTTGTTGGTGCTTTCAAGCATCACCTTTGTGACACAATTTTTAGGTGAGTTTTCCTAGGGGTCAGGAG